GGTTCCAATAGGACTCTGCAAAGCATCTCTCCATCTTTTCACCCCAGTGACTAGCCTAGGACCAGATTTCAAGTAAGTTCTCAAATAATGTTTCTGAATTGAGTATTTTTTTCCCTCTGTACCCTAAATACACTAACTGTGTAATCTCCTTCCCAAAAGCAGGTCAGGAAAAGTTTTCATAGCCACTTGTTAGTTTTAGGTCTACATTAGTGTCCTTATTTTAGGTTTCCATGACCCTAGCATCTCCCACAAACCTACATATATACCTCTTCACCTTTCATATATACATATTCTTTCTTTACATATGTTAATCTATTTGTTAAGATTCCACCCCCCCCCTTTTTTTTGGTACTGGGGATTGAATCCAGAGGCACTTAACTACTAAGCCACATCCCCAGTCCTTTTTTATATTTTATTTAGAGACAGGGACTCCTGAGTAACTTAGGGCTTTAATAAGTTGCTGAGGCTGGGTTTGAACTCATAATCCTCTTGCCTCAGTCTCTGAGACACTGGGATTACAGCTGTGTGCCACCTCACCTGGCTTTAGTCGAATCTTGTTGGACTCTAAGGTATTGTGTCTCCTTAAAGGGCCTTTGTATACCTCTGCTCTGATAGTGTTGATCTTGCAGTTTAATTCTCAAAGGAGAATTCCCCTATTGCTAATTTATTAATTTATTCAGTGAGTAAATATCTTTATGATGCATCTACTGTGTGCCAAGCACTTGTAATTGCTAGGAATACCTAGCATAAGTAAAAAAGGAAAGAACCCTGCTCTCAAGAAATTGACAGATTACTACAGGAATCCCTAAATTCTTAGGACCACCTCACATTTGTTTCCAAATGATAATCACCAGGTCCAAAGTGCTATTTTCAAGCCATTTAATAGTAAAATTAAACAAAAAAATAGCAATTCAGCGGCCTACAAGGAAAACAGAGTTCTTTTATCAAATAAACTGTAACCACTTCTTTCTGGCAGTGAGCTTCATCACTGAACCCAAAAGAAGAAATGAAAAAGAAGCCCTTAAAGTATAAGTCAGTGGGTACCGGGGCTCTACCAAGGAAGACGTAAACTATTAAGTGGTAAACAGGAATGAGGGATAATTGAAGAGCTCCTTATTTTGGTTATTTTTTTTCAGGAATAATCCCTACAATCCATGAGCTTAATAACAACAGCAAACAATTAAGAATATATTTGAATGCTGGATGCAGTGGTACACACCTGTCCCAGAACGCTGAGGCAGGAGGATGGAAAGTTTAAGGTCAGCTTCAGCACCTTAGCAAGACCTTGTCTCTAAATAAAAAATTAAATGTGCTGGGGATGTAGCTCAATGGTAAAATGCTGATGGGCCTGGGTTCAATCCTAAGTACTAGGGGGAAAAATGTAGCTGATCAAGAAAAAACATAAGAGTTCAGGTAAAAGCTGAGTATATTCACAGTATATAAACACTGACTCAGGCTGACTTAGGTTATTGCCAATTTTTTTTTTTTTTTTTTTTTGGGGGGGGGGGGTGCTGGGGATTGAACCCAGGGCCTTGTACATGTGAAGCAAGCACTCTACCAACTGAGCCATATCTCCAACCCTTCTCCAATTGCTTTTTGCTGCTATTTTTTGAGATAGATTTTTTCCCTTATAAAAAAGGTTATACAAATACACTGAAAAAGAATCTGAGGGCTGGGGATGTAGCTCAAGCGGTAGCATGCTCGCCTGGCATGCGTGAGGCACTGGGTTCAATCCTCAGCACCACATAAAAATAAAATAAAGATGTTGTATCCACCAAAAACTAAAAAATAAATATTAAAAAATTCTCTCTCTCTAAAAMAAAAATCTGAAAAACATAGACTATAAAGTGAAAATAATTCCATTACTCAAAAAAATATACACTTTTAGTTATATATCTTATTTCAGACTGTTTTCTATCATATATAATTTTTCTTTTCACATAATTAGTAGTACAGTAAAAATGCAGTTCCATATCTTGCTTTTGTCATTTAATTTAGGAACATTTCTCCATGTTCTTGTTCTTCTAAATTATTTAGGAGTTAGAAAATATCTTCTGCAAATTTGTGAATACGCAAAAATTCCACCACTGTCCTAATGTTGAGCAGGTTACAGCAATGTTTCGCAGCATAGAAAAAATAAGTGTTCATGCATACTCTCAGGAAAAACTACCTGAATATATCCTTGAGATAAATTCTTGAAAGGGGAATTAAGTCAAAGGATATAAACCTTTTAGGTCTTGAATACTTATGCCAAGGAGTTCTCTGTTAAAATTCTCCAGCAGTATATGAGGGAAACCACATCATCCTTTAGCAACACTAGATGTTTTTACTTTTGTTTTGGATTTGGTTTGGTTTTTTGAGGAGCTGGGAATTGAACCCATGGCCTTGCACAGGTTAGACAAGGTCTATACCACTGGGCTTCACCACAACCTCTTATATATTTTTACTTTAACATGACAGAATAAAAAGGGCATCTTATTTTAATCTGCAGTTCTTTGGTTACTAATGAGAATGAACAACCTAAATACATTCACTCTAATTTCTTTCTTTCTTTTTTTTTTTTTTTTTAATAGTCTGTGCTATCCAGGATAGCCTCAAACCCCTGGGTTCAAGCAATTCTCCCACTTCAGCCTCCCAAGTAGCTAGAATTACAGGCATTCACCACCGTATCCAGCTTTAATTTCACTCTCAGTTTATATCACTGTTGATACCACTGGGCTTCACCCTCTTTATCTATTTATTAGGAGATTGTGGTTTTTTGGGGGGCCTACCAGGGATTGAACTCAGGGGCACTCGACCTATTTTGTATTTTATTAGAGACAGGGTCTCACTGAGTTGCTTAGCACCTCGCTAAATTGCTGAGGCTGGCTTTGAACTTGAGATCCTCCTGCCTCCCCGCCTCCCGAACTGCTGGGATTACAGGTGTGCGCCACGGCCAGGAGATTGTTTTCTAAAAAAAAAAAAAAAAACAGTGTGAAAGAACTCCAACAAATTAAAACACATAACAACTATGCCTGTCATGTGTTGCCTGCACATTCCCACAGCTTTCATTGTGGAAGCTCCACRTTTTTCTAAAGTTTAACTGGTATAACCTAACTCCTACCACAAGCACTCCTAGTTACACCACCTTTGCATCTTTACACTCACTGGGGTTCTGTTTTTAATCACCAAGCTAACAGGGTACTGAAGACTTGCCCAAGGAATCCACAAAACTATGTATGCTTAAACAAGTGCAACTAAAATATACAGAAAGACTCAGAATTGTTTTTTCTTTCCTCCCCTGTTTTTTGAATCCCTCAAATAGTAAGCAGCTTATCATTGTTCAGGGTAAAAAGAAAGTTTTTAGTTCTCAAAAAGATTACCTGTGGTTGGAAGGCAGCACAACAGAAGAAAAAAAGCATGCTGTAGAAGGTACAAACCTGCCATGTTCTTGCTATGTGACCTTGGTCAGGTCATTTTGCCTCTCTGGGCCTCAATTTCCTAATTTGAGAATAAAACTATCTGTTTTAGGGTTATTATGAGAATTAAATGGGAAAATATATGCAATGTTTATAACCAGGAGTCTGGTATGTGATTGATACACTTCAAAAATTTTGTTTTTCTGGGCTGGGGCTGGGACTCAGGGGTAGTACACTTCCCTGGCATGTGTGAGGCACTGGGTTCAAATCTCAGCACCACATATAAAGAAAGAAAGAAAGATCTATTAATAACTTAAAAAATATTTTTTAAAAAATGTTATTTTTCTAATTTGATAGTGCTAAATCAGTTACTTATTTAATTTAAATGGWCTTAAATAAAATGCTGCCTAGAAATATTCAACAAAAACCATCAGGGTAAAAAAAAACATTTAGGTCACCAGGCATAGTGGCACATACCTATTATCCCAGCTTGGGAGGCTGAGGCAGGAGTTCAAGGCAAGGCCCAGCAACTAAGCAAGTTGCTAAGCAATCCAGCAAGACCCTGTCTCTTATTTTATTTATTTTAAAAAGGGCTGGGAATGTGGCTCAGTAGTAAAGTGGATTCAATCCCTGGTACAAAAAAAAAAAAAAAAAAAAAAAAATTAGGTCACTTTTTTGCAATTAATCATCAACCACCACTGTAAGACAACAAAAACCCCAAAGCTGATGTTACTAAAATTGCTAAATACAGTAATTACTTAGCCCTTAAGATCACGACCACTAATTGCTTTAGGAAAGCAACATAAATCTTTKTAATTATAAGAGCAAAAGTCTGATTAGTTATCCCCAAGGGTGACCTCTATACCAGAAGGCTTTTGGTCATTGCCCAGAATGGCAGTACACTCAGAAGTCTTTCTCGAATTGCTGTTTTCTCACACTCCATACTCTGAAAGGAACCATATCAACAAAAGAACTGAAAGAGGAAAAAAAAAAAAATGACAGAAATGGAATTCTCCTTTGATATTCAGCTTTCTTGGCACTGACTCCTGGCAAGAGGCTCTAGTGGGGTGAAATAATCTTGAGGAAGAAAGCCTACTCTATGAAACACAGCATTTTCTATGGAAAAAGCAAGAAATACATTCTATTCTCTCTGTAAGTTTAGATTCCTCTAGGAAAGGAAGCAAAGTATCATTTACTAAGCATGTCCATTCAGTGTACTACACCACATGCTTTAATTAAAATATCTTCAAATCAAACTATGAGGTAGATCTTATCCTTCCTCAAACACATTAGATAACTTGCCTAAAGTCTTAGTCATTAAGTAGAAACATCCAGCTCCAGGCCCCAAATCTGTCCAACTTTGAAAGCTTTTTCTTTTCAAAGCATCTTTTTCAAATCTCAAAATGATCATGCCAGTTCTTTATTTAAATTTTGGTTCCAAAACAAAACAACCTAACCCAACAAGTTAAATATCCACCAAAATGATTTCATTTTCTTTCAATCAGTAGACTGTTTTTCTGCCTCTTAGTAGTGTTTAAGATGAACTGAGGGACACACACAGAGTGCCCTTTTTTAATCTTAAATCTATAAAGAAAACAATACCTGTTGACAACCACAGAGCACTGAAGCAGAAGCAAGTATAAAACAGGTACTGGCTTCTCAACCACTTCATGGATGTCTGCCAACAATATCCTGATAAAATCCAGGAAGCGAGACTTGGCTTGACTCCCAGCCTCCTCTCCATGGCCTTCCAGACTGGCAGAACCAGTACACTAGAAAGACAGAAAGAGAAGAAATTAAATGCCAAGTAATTAATAATTGATTCCTAGAAATGTGGAATGATGGAGAATGTGTCAGATTAGGAGAAAGAAGAATTTCAAGTTTGTCTTTC